TTTTGACAGCCATGACAAAGGTCATATTATTAATGCAAAACGTACCTGTTTTATTATACAGCACTCAGCAGTCAATATCGCCGTTAATTGTACCGCCTAACTTGTTCATTTAGTCAAGCCGCTTTCTACTTTGAATCAGAATTCCTCACTAAATGATCCAACACTTGAATATGATCTAATCCTTGTCATTTTAGCCTGCATTGACGAGTCTGGCGTTCACATCTTCAGTCCTCGCACAGTGGCCACTCATTATTACGACGCAAAACTTCGGTTTTCTCTGTGATTTCATGGTTAAGAACTTCAAATTTACTTCTTGAAGCATTCATGTTATATATTCCTTTCCTGAAACAAGGTTTGTTTCGGTCCAAGAGAAGAAAATAAGCGTTTTAAAGCGAAAACTATACATTCTGTAATAGAAATCTATAGTATTCACTCCTCAAGTGGGGCCATTCCAGCCTAGACCTAGGCCTTCTAGTCTTATTTATATTTTTTCATATTCAGCGCTTTTTCACATGAAAAGACTGGGACTAGGTGATTTGGGGGCGGGGCGGAGGAACCATAGTTTATATAGGGGGGAACATGGTTAGGAAACGCGGCAAACTTCAAAGACGGATGTTGATTTCGCGCTTTTTAAGTCACGTGACCAAAGACCGTGCACACATACAGGTAATATTATATACTCTTGTACACAATTCGACTAGTCATGGTGACATAAATCGGTATAAAGTTTCATGTGGGAAATGCCAGGCGATAATTGCGCTCCGATGGGTTGTGGGACGTGTCGAAGAACTAAAGGTATCGGTATTTTTAAACTCCCAGCGCCTAAGAACGAGGAATATGAGGCATGGAGATCACACTGTTGAACGAACTCACCGAAACAAGAGTAATTGACAAGCATTTTCGAGCGCAGATTGACAAGGACAAAGTATTTAAAGAAGAAGACATCGAAACGTGTAAGTGCCAAGTTTTAAATGATTCTGGTACGAGGTCTTGTAGTCCCGAATAAAAACAATATCACTTAATAAACTGACGAAAATCTACATATTGACCATCGAGTCACGCTTTACAAAGTATCAATTATATGAATTAATATTGCCAATGCCAATAGCGTATTATATTAAACGTAGTCAGCAAGCTTTCTAGTTCTTTGTAGTTTTTGAGACGGTATGAGCGAATCAAGTTTTATCTAAAATGGCCTAAAATGTGAGTTGATCAAAAGTGTAAATCTATAAAGTATAAAATGTGTCGTGTTGATGCATTATACTCAGTAATACACACGTTTTGATTTTGATTTCTACTCAGTATAAATACACACGTTTAATTTGAAGTGATTCATGCTTTATACTATTAATTTAATAATCAACAAAATATCAATTTTGGTTTATAAGACAATTACAAACAATCATAACACTAACAGACTATATGTAATAACAATTACAGTAATACTGTACATAACATACATTAATTCCCTTTGAGCTATTTTAAACTATTTTAAAGCGCTGTAAAACAATGTTAAAATTACATCAAATCAAAATTTCTCTACAATTTCTTTGTCCTGCATGAACTTGAGATATATTGCTTGACTGTGCATTAAACATTTCGAGTGAGCTATTATAGTGAGTATTTGTAACACGATTAAAATTCTTTTTACACTACATGTATCTATAGTTTTAATTCATAATAAACTCGGAGAAGGTAGTGGTATGGCCTGGGGGGATGAGGGGGGCAGACACCCCTGCCCCAAATGGTCCCAAAACTGTTGTCATAAAAAGTCAATATCTGGAGAGAAATTGTGTGGAGATATATTATTCTGATATACTTTAAATATAGAATAAAACTAATCTCAGAAGAATGCAGGAAATTACGTTTCAGAGACCCTAGAAATCATAATTTTCTTGGGGGAGCATGCTCCAAGATCCCCAAGACTGCTTGCCCCTTTGGCATGTTGAAAATTTTATTTTGTAATATATACTTTTGCCTCCCCTAAAATTTCAGACCCCGAGGATGCACTGACAGAAGGTCCAAAATTATACAACTATTATTTCTCTATTTTTGGTAAGCCATTTATCAACTTTGTTAATAGTGAGGGATATACTGTAAAGTCTTTACTGTTACAGTATAAAAGTTCATGTGATATAATTTTATTGGCATTTCGGTTTTTCTTTGTACCAGAATATACTGTAATTTAATTAAACAGTACAGAAATGCATCTGTTTGTTTAAGCCCCGTTTACATGAGCAAATTTTATTTGACAAATTTCATTTGATCAAATGCATTTGATCAAAAGCTGGCATGCTAGGTTTTGTTCAAATGCATTTGTCACAATAAATTTGTCACAAATTTATCATCTACACGAGCAAGATATCTTTGACATATGAAATTTGTCAAATAAAATTTGCTCATGTAACAGGACTTTATTAGTGAAACTAAAATAGAGTTGTTCTTTTGATAGCAGGAACTGAGAAAATGACAAAGAAGAAGCCAGTTTTTGGAGCTTTACCACTGCCTGATGTGCCAAGTCGAGCCCACAATCATTGAGTACAAGGTCCGGTTACCTATCAGAAGTTTTACTCTCTTGCAGAGGTTCAAAAGCAAGTTTTGAAATTAAAAGAATTAAAAAGAAACTGGAATGTTGAAACATGGGATGATAGAATAACAATGCACAACTTGTAATAACATAGAGTGACTTGTATTTTTGTACAACATCTTTGGCAAGGGAAAATGCTTGTACTTTAAATACAGATAAACAATTTAATTTAAAATGTCTTTGGTAACTTGTTTTTCTGGTTTAAGTTCAGAATTGGCAATTAGGGAATCAAATGCTGATAAATGTCAGGGTGTGATATTGACCTAAACAAAATTATATTAACATCTACCTTATTTTCATTAATGGATGTAGTTATCTCTAAATAGGTTTTCAGTTTTAAATATAATCATCTGGGCATTTGAATTTATAGCCCACAAACCACCACGGTTTAAACATGAAACCAATTTTTGGTCATCAATGTCTGTAGTACGAGCAGCTCCAAAAATACAAATTGCTTGCTGATATTCTGGTGATTTCCACTTTGGGCTGTTTTTCGATTTTTTGTGTAAGTTGTGAAAAACATAGCCACCAAGGTATTGTCCTCCAGATAGTCCCCTTTCTGATAGGATAGTATTTGTAGTGCTAGTTATATCCCTGGACCATCCAGATGGGTCGACATCAACTGAGTTCTTGTCTTTCTTTGCAAGAAATAACATATGATCAGCAACTTTAGTGGCAAGGAATGTTGCTGTCTTCTCAGCAAATCCAGGAAAATATCTTGTAGCCTTGGGTGGTACCTCACTAAAATACTGTGTATAAAATTTCTCCACGTTGCTCTTTTTCTGATATTCTCTGTAAAGCTTTCGCATTATTTTCATTTCACAAGTATCTTCCCCAAGAACCAGACAGCATGATGCAAGTTCATCCCACGCTGTCTTTGGATAACAGGCATTTTTGCTCAGTTTTAATGCAGTCTCTTCTACAATCTGGGAAAGAAGGTGAGTTTTTAAGTCATCTTGGCAAACATTGCCGCTGTGGTTGGTTTCATGACCATGCTTTGCATTGGTGTGCCTTTTTAATCCAGATTTGCTTTTGCATTTTTTGCCACACATCTCGCAAATAAAGTGCACAGTTTCAACCTATAAATATTAAAGAGAGACAATATATGTTTCTCCTGTACAGTATTTATTCATTATAGATATATATCAAATTATGTCGGATGAATATTAAATATTTAATTCCGATTTCTGCACAAATGGACAGATCAAATTCATTTGTGGCGTTGTAACTGACGAGAGTGTTTACACTTGTTTATAGTTAAGTTGTTTTTTTTCGTTGCCAATGATAAAATTAACTAGCGAAAACCTCTTCTATCCAGTCAGGAACAAGAGGAAAAATAATAAAATTATGTTCATATTATTTTCGTGAATTTCGTCGGTATCAAAACAATCTAAAATTCACTATATGAATAGAATTTTCAATCTTTTTAATTATTGCGTACTTACATCGGCAATAGCTTGCTCAAATTCTTCCAGAACTTTTTCATTTTCTTTTAAAATATTTAATACTTCATCAAAATCATCGCCAGATACGACAGAATTTTCCTCCGTCAAGGCCGCCATCTTGTTTTGGTGTGCACGGTGACCACTGAGCTGTATAATAACTGGAGGACCTGCTCCTATACTTCGTTCAGTGATCAAAGCAGTGAACTCTAATAATAGTGAGCTTAAGCAAGTGACGTTTTTGACAACACGGACGTCGACCGGAAGTAAAATTGACGTTTTTCACCAATCACAACCCTTGACCCAGTCTTCTGACGTTACTCATGCCGTTCGTGTTGTCAAAAACGTCACTTGCTTA